ACCTGAAGATGTTGGGGGTGGAACCTAAGGAGGGCGGGGTTTGAGGTAGGCAGGGACTTCAGTGGGGTTTATTGCCACAGAGTCTGCCTTCCAAAGCAGCCATTTTGAACTGACCTCTGTTGCCTGGAGATCAGTTGTAATCGCGGGAGATCTCCAGCCACAACCCTGCGATAACCCTCAGATTTAGGTTAGGCTGAGAGCGATTGACTGGCCTAGGATCATCCATTGAGCTTCATAGCCAAGTGAGGATCAGAACCGCAGTCTCCCTAGCCCTAGTCCAATGGTCTAACCACTTTGCCATACTGGCTCTTTAGTGTATTCTCTAGTCTACAAGGGTGTGCCTAACTCTTGATTTCTTATTGCTGACTCACCTCACCTATTCATGGCACTCAGCTGAATGTGTGAGCTGCCTTCATTGAGAAGTAGCACGTCTGAGTGACACCGAAAGCTGATACACAAGCTCTGTCTGTTGCATCAGATCTCTGGTGAGGCATTCACACATGCAGTCTATCTCATGATATGGCAGACACCAAGAAAGGAAAAGGCAGCCCTTCGAATGCAGGTGAAGCTGACCTGAATCTGAATGTTCAGAATCTGTATTTCTGCATTTTTAAAAGAAAACTCCACCAGCCACATAAGCCGTTGCTCCGCAGGGAGACAGTCGGTCTTCCCTCTTGAATGGTGACTGTTGAGGAGATGGCCAGGGTGCAAGGGCATCCCACAGTAGCTACAGAGGCATCACACTCAAGCTTGGTGGGAGCTGGCAAGGAGTAACAGGGTTTCAAGCTGGATGCCAATCCACAGCTTGGGAGCTGGCATGACTCCTTGAAGTGGGCAGAAAAGAGAGTTTTAGATATCAGAACCCCAGCCCTGTGGATTTGGTAAAGTTTTGTCTGGAGCTTGCCTCTCCCCAAGCAATCTACTTTTTTCTATAATAATCCTGCCTTATGTCTGGAAGCCCAGAGGATAAAGTATATTATTGTGTTTCTGGTTTTTCTCCCTCTTTGTTCTCTTCTTAAGAGCCCCGAGTAGGGATTAGAGTTTTCTTTAAAGCCAGTTAGAAACATCCACTTCTTTTCGAACACTCTAGTTCCTCTTTCCTTCTGCACAGTCTCAGTTTTCACATCACAATCAATACAGCCCAAGAATGTAAGACGGAGGACATTCTGCTCTCCCCCCTCCCTCACTTCCTTGCCCCAAGCTGGCTCACGCAATCGAAATGGAGCTGGCTCAAGTAATGATTTGTCTAATTTCATGGCATGAATGGATTTCCCCATGCTTTGCATGAATTATCTGTCTTTGTGGCTACTTACGCAGCCCAGGACATAGCTGTCCATAAATACCTCTGCCCATAAACCCAAGAGGGTCAAAAGCACTTTCCATCATTTCCTTGGTCAAATGCTGAATTTTGATCAAGGGAAATGATCAGGTGTTATACATCAACAACAGATCAACGAGTAAAACTGTTTCTCAACTGTATCATATCAGATGTATGACTGCTCCTCCAGATATTTTTTAAACCTCAAATTTGTACGTAAAATTTTTTCAAGGGGAAATTATTTTGTGTAGCCTTATGACGTGCTTGTATGCAAACATATGGCCCTTTCAGGCTTGCAGTGTGAAGTTCTTGCAGAGCAATGGTTGTATCCCACAGTAGGCTTATTGTGTAGGCCTCCATAGGATGTTGCCTTTTCCTTGCAAATCAGGAACAGGCTACTCACTCAGATTCCTACTCTTTAGTTCACACAGCAGAGATGGGGATGGTTGCCAGGACCCTTCATTGCTCCAGCGGGGGGAGTGGGGGGCGTGGGGGGAGTGGGAATGCCCCCAAGAGCGACCACCCGCCCAGCCACCCCTCTCCTCCCCTCCTGCCCAATTTAAAGAGCTTCAGCCCACCGATCAGCTGGAGGGCCCTTTAAATCTAGCGGGAGGGAGGGAGAGGGGTGGTTGCAGGCCATATGCTCGACTTGCAAAAAGACCCATGTGGATCACCTGAAGCCCTTTAAACTGGGCAGAAGGGGAGGGAGAGGGGTGGCTGGCTGGGTGGTCGCTCTCGAGGGTGGGGCTTCCCCTGCCGGCCAGCTTGCCTGGGGTGGATTGAAGCCCCCAGAAGTGGGGGAACCCCCGTCTGGACTTGGGGGCTGGCAACCCTAGAGATGGGTGTGTTTGAAACATCAATTTATGAGCAAGAAGTTGCAGGAATGGGAGTAACTGGCTCAAGGGAAAAGAGTCCATGCAGTCTACGATTCTAAGGAAACAAACTGATCTAGCCAGCAGTGACTCCACCCCATGAGACTGTACCAACACACAAATATGGGAGAGGGGAACAGACTGTTCCATTTAATGTGAACAATAAATACACTACACTCCAGGCCTTAGTTTTAAAGGCTGCAAGAATGTTCATATGGCCCATTACTGCAGCTGTATGCACGTTAAAAGTCAAAGGGTGTCTCAAGTCACATCTCTTTCCACACTTCTGAGGAGCAAACTGCATGTTAATATGTAACAATTCCCATTGATAATGGTTTAAAATAAAAAGCAATCTTCATTAATTAAATGTGTATATCCTGCCTTTCCTCATAGCTCAAGGCACTTTACAAATCATGATTTAAAGCATCACAATTTAAAACCAGCAAAATAAAACTCCCATGAGAGCCAGTTTGGTGTAGTGGTTAAGTGCGTGGTTAAGTGCGTGGACTCTAATCTGGGAGAACCGGGTTTGATTCCCCACTCCTCCACTTGCACCTGGCTGGATGACCTTGGGCAAGCCGTAGTTCTGACAAGTGCTGTTCTTGGGGGGAAAGAGCAGTTTCTGTCAAGAGCTCTCTCAGCCCCACCCACCTCACAGGGTGTCTGTTGTGGGGGAGGGGAAGGAGTTTGTAAGCCGCTCTGAGACTCCGTTGGGTAGTGAAGGGCGGGGTATAAATCCAATCTTTTCTTCTTCTTCTTCCTCACTTTGGAGATTCTACAGTTTTGAGCACAGAAGGGGGGGGTTCCTTGCAACTGTTCCCCATGGAAACATTTCCTCCCCCAGTTTCTTTTCCTCCAGTAGGATAAAAGAGACCTGATTGACCTTGTGAGTGACCCCCCCTTCCCCACTGCTTCTCAGACTCTGGCCTCCCAAGACTGCTTTTCATTTTCCAGTAGGATAAAAGAGACCTGATTGACTTTGTGAGTGACCCTCCCTTTGACTTTGTGAGTGACCCTCCCTTCCCCACTGCTTCTCAGAGCCTGGCCTCCCAAGACTGCTTTTCATGTGGGCGAAATAACTGCATCTCTCGCATGGAGTGTAGGTGCATGTGCTCCCAGTGCAGATGCAGCTTATGCATTTCCCCGGGGAGAGGAGGAGGTCCCCCATTGTACAAGAGCTTCAGAAACATGTTGCACGCACTTGCCATGAACGTGGCTTTAATTATGAGCACAGGGAGTACATCCAGGAGCAATATGACTATTCGCAGGATGATTCATTCAGTTCAATAACGCTGCTTTGGAAGGCAAACTGTGCGGCAGCTGCCAGTAACACTTGAGTTAGCCTTGGCTCTGAGCCGGCTGGAGTGGAATGCAAGTGGTAATATGAAGCATTTTGAGGGAAATAATAGCAATCATCGTGGATTTTGAGTCCCATATAAGAGCACAGCCTTTTGGACCAGAACAGAACTCCTGGAGATAGTTGGAATACAAAACTAAATCAATTGTGCATGCTTATTTCATTGGTGGGTGGAATCCAAAGCCTGAATGTCCCCTGAACATTTTATTGAGTTCCAGTTCCAAACGGATTCCAAACTGCAAAGTTGAAAAGTTTTTAAAGGAACTGACACGCTGCATGCTCAGGGTTGCATGTTTTCATGCTAAACTAAAGAGCTAAACTGGAGACAGGATGCCTGCTCAGATTACAGTTATTCTCAGAGGTGGATTGGATCCAGCTTTTACTTTATTGGAGGAAAATGCTAGCGGGCTGTTGTCCTATATGCCCTGCCTATCCCCACAGTGGGGCTAGAGAAGGAGAATACAGGTGTGTGCCACTGGTTTAGGGCAAAAGGCCACTGTGCCTGTACTCCTGATTGCCTAGGCTAGTGAGGAGGAACACGGGCACAGTGGCACCCATCCTTGCCCTACGCCATGTCCAGGCTGCGGAGGAGCAGCACAGGCACAGCAGCGCCTCTACCTGGGAGACAAGAAACATGGCCGGGACCAGGGGTCATTTGGGGGGGGACGCGGGGGGACGCCATCCCCCCGGGTGAGGTGCGGGAGGGCGGGGCCTGGAGCTCCCTGCTGGTGCTCGCTGAAGGTCGCCACCGGCTGTGGGGAGACACACTTCCGGTGATGTCAGGGGGTGTGGCATATGCTAATGAGTTATAATAATGAGTCCCCCTAGCTCTTTTTCTACGAAATGACCCCTGGCCGGGACTGCCTCTGCCCTGCCGGCAAAAAACGTCTGAGTCTGAGCTGGGAAGTAGCCGGAGCGTGAAAGGTTAAACAGCTGGCTGTATACAGGCATGGTTGCCAACTCCAAGTTGGGAAACTGCTGGAGATTTGGGGGAAGAGCTTAGGAAGGGCCAAGTTTGGGGAGGGGAGGGAGCTCAGCAAGGATATGATGCCACAAAGGCCACCCTCCCTTTTCTCGAGGGGAACTGAACTCTGCAATCCAGAGATCAGTTGTCATTCCGGGAGATCTCCAAGTCCCACCTTGAAGTCGGCAATGATAGGCTCTTCCCACTTTCACTCACATCTCCAAGGATGCTTTCCATTAATAGAAACAAGCCATTGGGTCGTGCCAGCTGTTAATGGCAAAATGCAGTTCTCACGCCATCTCCGGCCACTTTTCACATCAAGTTGCGAAACTTTTCACATTCAGTTGAAACCTGCTTGTATGATTTATTCTGATTTGGTTTTCACAAAACACAGACCTATTTGACAAAGACGTGGATGGTGAAGGGCATGGCAACTCAAGCGTTCCCATAAAGCAGGAAAGAGTCATAAGAACAAGACAAAAGGCCAATATGCCGTACAAGAACCCTTTCCTCAGGCTCCCGGTAGCCCTCCACGACACCTTCTGCAGTTTCCAAACTTTCAGCCCATATTTGCAGACGTGCAGCCTGCAGGTGAGCAGGAAAAAGAACAGATGTCCATAGTTTGGACTCGTGCACAAAATCGGGACTACACCAGGCAGAGACTAATGCAGGAGTCCTGCTCACCTACAGGCTGGATGTCATGCTGTGACGGAAGAGCAGCTAGAAATAGGCAATTTATTCCAAAAGGCCATGAGGGGGCTGCGTGGCTCATTCATGCACAGCCCTGAAATGTTCCTGGAGGTGAAATGAAGGAAGGACAAAATGGATGCCTTGATTTGTCTGCTTTGCTTTTTTGCTTCAGTGCTGAACTTCCAAGGGAGTGCCTTGTCATTGCGGTGAGAATGGGTCTAATCCACCTCTCCCTGTTTGCAGTCTCCTTTGACCCTCTGAGCCAGTGTCAGGAGGCTGATGTGTCCCTCCACTTGGGCAGCCAGTGCTCATCCCTCCCCTCAGCTTGTCCTTGGATCATCCTTCACCCCACCAGTTGCATCAGCCCTTCTCTCACTGGCTGGAGTACGTGCATCTCTGTTCTATGTTGCCTTAATTGCTCAGTTTTTCAAGCAGAATGGTGACTCACAAGTTCTTTTAATAAAATCACATGCATCCACTGACCTGTACTGAAGGCAGGAAAGCAGTGTGACTGTATTGGCTCAGGATTACCGAGACCAGCAACACTGGCTGTGTGATGGCCACCACAATCTGTTATCTGGAGAAGTATGCATGCACACAAAAGCTTATGCACAGAATTAAACTTTGTTGGTCTTAAAGGTGCCACCGGACTCAAATTTTGTGATAACACAGTAAGCCTGGCCACAGGATCCCTCTGCATCGCTTTACAGGTTTTGTTGTTATTCAGCAGCCTTTACAGAGAATTGGTGCAGAATGGTCCTGCTCTGTCTACAAAACTAAGAAATCAGGTGGTGCCTGTGGAAATAAATACATGGGGAATAACAGCTCTCTCTCCCAGGGTGTGGGAGAGGGTGGAAAGCAAGGCCCTCATACCCCATTGTGAAGAATAATATTTGGAGGGCAAAGAAGATTCCAAGGGGATGAATAGCTTGAAATGGGCAAAAAAAAATGATGAGCATAAAGGGGACCGTCTTTGTTCGGCAGTGGTCCCCCATTGGTGATGTGGGCTGCCCTGAAAACAGGCTGTGCCAAGGAAGGCTTCAGGGAATTAGGTAGCAGTAATTCTTTGCAATGAGCATCCCCCCCCGCTACTTTTGTTACGACAGAACCACTTTGTTTTAATATTTTGTGTCAATGCCCTTGAGAGAGAGAGAGAGAGAGAGAGAGAGAGAGTCACAATATGGGATTAATGCCATCATGAAAGAGGTGACAGATGGCCTTAGGAACCACAGAGGCTCCAGTGATAATGCCAGCCGTTTTCCTAAAATGGAAGCATCCATTTTCCAGCCAGAGGCCCAAGGAGCATTAAGGGGCTTTCTGGCCAGAGAGCAGGTTTGTAAATGGCTGGTGAGGCATTTTGGAATTAGGGGCTTATGCTATTTGGGTTGAGCCTGCATCATTCTCTCAATACCTTTGGGATTCCTGTATTGAATAATAAGGCAACCCTGTTTTTCACATGGAACTGAAGTGTTCATTCAAAATGCATCTCCAGATACTGAGAGAGCTAATAGGGCTGGCAGAATCATCAATAATGCAAGTAAAAAGGCAAGGGAAGTGGATTAAGAATATCCACTAGGAATATCCACTGGTGGTACAACTGCATATCAAGACCACCCAGAGGCCAGGTGGGGGTACAATCCAGATGGTGAAAATTCACACTGCAGACAATGAAGCGCAGGGGATCTGGGGAAGGCAGTTTAGCAGATTAACTGGGGGAAAAGGAAATTTATGCACTGCTGAGCTGTTCATTATGGTTAGGGGTGTATAAATTCCTTATCACCATGAAACAAATACAGAACTTGGTTGTGGAAGTGGAATTCAGTATCCCAAGAATCTTTTCTAAAAGTAAGTGTTTAGGCTGCAAAGATAATCTTCAAAGTATGTGGACAATGTCTGATGAAATATCATAAACCAGAGAAGGGTGTGATGGGGATTCCCAGGGGTCCAGGAGTGGGAGGGTGGATCAGAGGCCCATATGGTGTCTTGCCAGTCCACATTAACAACAAAAATGCACACAATTGCTTACTAGTGCACGCAGCACAGAACCCATCATTTCTTCATGCAGAAGTTTGATTTTTAGAGTACCTCACACACACAGCCCTGCATTATCGTCTGAGAGAATGATATAAGCCCCTTCAGTGGGTTGTTCATGAAGTAAATGAAAATAGATGAAGAAAATAATTACTGGATTATTTGTACATTGACCAAGGATGGGGAGACAGTGAGATATCAGACCAGTTTGTGTGCAACTGAGGCAAAGGCTGTAGCTGTTAAGTCTCAAGCAGATCTCTGGACAGGTAGCGTACACATTATTTAATTAAGAGCAGGTCTTCAGTGAAACAAACCTGGCTTAGAAATTGTGCACAGGGCACAGGCTAGCCCTGGTCTATTGGTGCAAGAATGAGTTTCCATGCCGCCTTTCCTTCCTTTGGCCATAGGTGGAGCTGTAGTGGCTAGTCTGCAGGCCTACTTAAGACCTGTTGCAAGCTTAAATCCTGACCCCGGTGGGACAGTTCTTTTTTCAGAACAAAGCCACCAAGTGGGAGACCACTTTTGCTCTAATGTGCTTTACAACTTCTTGTGGTCCTCACTAAGCCATGTGTGTTTCAAAGACTGTGTCCGGGCATTCAAATTCCCAGGGAGGGGGTGATTTCCAGAAGCATTGGAACACCTTTTAAAAATATTTTATTTTGCTTTTAATTCCCATAGTCAGGGCTATTTTTGGGCAGGAACGCACAGGAACGGAGTTCCGGCTGGCTCCCGAGCTGGCCACACCCAGCAGGAACTCATTAGCATAATAGGCCACACCCAACAGCAGAAACTCATTAGGACTGGCTACATTAGGGGTGTGTGGCCTAACATGCAAAGGAGTTCCTGCTATAAAAAAGCCCTCCGTTTTGACAACAAACAAGGTAAACAGAATAAGGAGCAAAAGGTGTGTCTGGATGACCACACTTCTGCGAACATGGGGTGTGTGGCCTAATATGCTAATGAGCTGTGCTGTCAGGGGTGTGTCCTAATAAGCAAATGAATTTTTGCTGTTGGGTGTGGCCTATTATTCTAATGAGTTCCTGCTGGGCTTTTTCTACAAAAAAAGCCCTGCCCATAATACAAGTTTATTTTTATACAAGACAATCACTCCCCCCTCCCCAACAAATACCTTCTTAAAGGGACTGGCATATATGGTGGGTGCCATGGAGGTATTTTAATTTTGTTTAGGCTTGCACAATTTTATTCTGATATTTTATAGGTTATATATTGGAAGCTTGCTTTAATGCTCTTGAAACCCATCCGCAGCCTTCAGGATAAGGTGTGGTCCAATATCTATGGAAAGTCACAAAAGAATAGATTACCATCCAAGAATGGAGATTTCTGTTCCATTAATGTTTTCAAATCTGTTTCCTCCCCTTCTCTAGTACTGGATAAATGAATACACCTCCACACTGGGTATTGGAGTCTTCCATTCTGGCATTGAAATTTACGGCAGAGGTAAGGTGCTTTCTGTGAAATATGTCTTCAACAGGATCTTCGATAGGTTCCTCTAATGGGTGGGGGAGTAGAGTGCGATCTCTTTTCTCTGTGTTACTCTTTATCCAGAGCAGCGCCTTGGTCTTTAAAATATCATGATCTTCAGACTTACCGTTGTTTATGTGATTCTGTTCTGCCTCACAGGTTGCAGTTGCATACACACCCATATTACAAATGAAAGTAAGGACACACAGATGTCAGATTCCAGTATTCTCACATGAGCAATCCCCCCTTGCAGATCAGAGAAGGCTCTTCAGTGCCTTCTAAATGTGGTCATATTTATTCTTCAGTAGCCCATCCTGTTCAGGTCTTCTGACGCAACTGTGTCCCTAAAACGTTCTTTGTACTTTTCCATTTTAGCATCTCACAGTGGATGTGGCTGTACTTCCTGTAAAAGAATGGCAACACATCAATCCCACTTTGAAGCCTTGATAGATGGCTATAGTGGTGGTGGTGGGGGCTTGTACTGGTTGTTGGCCAAATAAAGAACACTGAGATGGGCATAGTGGTGGGGGGAGTAGTGCGCTAGCTTTTTGCTGTCCTTAGAAAACTAAGGAGAAATATCTGAGCTATAGGACATGATTTAAAAGCAGAAAGGGCATTAGAGCCAAAACACAGCATGTTCCTGTATGGCAGGGCACTGCATGATTCCTTGGTCTTTAGGTTCCTACATCCATGTTGGTTGCACCCAACAGAGGATTTAGATGAAGGGTGCCTCAGGAGTTGACCCTCCAGTGCATGTGTGCACGCCCCAAAATGGTTTGTAAAGGAATGTCTGAAATGGCAAAACAGGGACAGGGATCTACCAGGGACAAGCCAGAGCTATTGTTATTGTAAAGAGTGCCCAGTGGTATCAGGTATTGACACAGATGGCCTACAACTGCCAGCCTTTGAAAGAAATCATTCTGGGACCTACGTGGGACCAGCAGAGAGAGCTTCCAGAGAGCGAAGTCACATTGGATCAAGGGGAACCACTGGGGAGCACTGCCCGCTGGTTTTGGTCAGGTCCAAGCCCAGCACAACAGCTGCCTACTTACTGAAGGTGTAAAAATCAACTTTGGAATGGAGTAGCCTATCCCCTTGCTTTTCTGACAGCTAGATAAACAGCATATCCTCTGGCAAGCCTTTTTTCTGGTTCATTGGATTACTAACATATTGCTTATGGAGAGCTTATTAAGCAGCAATATAAAATGACTATTATTATTACACATTAAATGAAAATAGTGGGTCATATACAGCATTGCTGTTTCACATGGCATTCAAGCTTAGTTCCACACTGGGAATATAAAGGTCAGGAGGGATTTGGAGAGTCTTGCCACTAGCAATAGCAATGCACGACAGACCACAAAGCATTGCAGCATTAGTAAATGCCATAGCAGGGATGGTCTTAGCTGATATGAACTGCTCAGTTTCAGTGTGAAAGAGCTGGCCCGGAAAGGGCCAATGATACCCAAACATTCGGTCTCATTGTTCAGCCACACTCCACTGCTAGGGATGCAGCAAACCGTCCAAATCCTTAACCCAGATAGGTTATGGAAGGCTTCATGCTGCAAGTGCAGGGGTCATTGGCAGATTTTCTCCCCTCCCCTCCCCAGCCTCTCCTTTCCTGCTCTCAGTGGTCTCACCCCTTCTTTATTTTTGAGTCACAAATAGATAGATGATGCTGTCCTTATGCCCTGAGCCAGATGTATTGTGAAAGAAAATCTTTCCACTCATAAAACTGTTTGTGGAAGAAGAATTTTATGCTGGGAGAAAGTACTGCAGCAGGACCTTCTCAGATAACTGAGTTAAATCTGCACTAGAAAGATCCTTGGGGATGAACATAAGAATATAAGAGAAGCTATGTTGGATCAGGCCAGTGGCCCATCCAGTTCAACACTCTGTGTTACACAGTGGCCAAAACCCAGGTGCCATCAGGAGGTCCACCAGCGAGGCTAGAACTCTGGAAGCCCTCCCACTATTGCCCCCCCCCCAAGTGCCACGAATACTGCCCCAGACATCTATATGTTGTGGCTAATAGCCACTCATGGACCTCTGCTCTATATGTTTATATCCAATCCCCTATTGAAACAGTCTATGCTTCAAGATTGGATAAACATATGGAGCAGAGGTCCATCAGTGTCAATTAGCCACAACATATTGATGGAACACTATGTCTGAGGCAGTGATGTTCTGTGTTTGTTGCTGAGAAATGCTGATGGAATCCAGTTTTAAAATGGTTTGAATTCGGCCCAGAACTTACACAAAACTAATTTAGGACTTTGGTTTTTAGTTGGTGGGTCATATGTCATAGAAGGAGTTGTAATAGCAGTGTCCAGAATTGTCTTTTTAGAGAAGGGAAAAAAAATGAGGGAATGAGAGAGTGGAAGATGGGGAGGGGAGATGCAAGCAGAAGAGAAATAGAGAAGGGAAGAGGCACATCAATGGTAAGAAATTAAAGGGGGGTGAAGTGTTGCAGGATGAAGTTCAAGTGGGACCTCAGGTTTGAAAGACTGTATCTCCATGATTTTGGAAGACACTGGACTCGGCTGCCTCATGAAAGGGCAGAACTAGATGGCAGCAGTTTCTAGTTTACGGATGAAGGCCAGTCTGTATAATAGCAGCTCACATGCAAAGGGGTTTACATGCTTAAATGCTCTTCTATAACACCAATACCAATGAGAGGTAATCTCATGTAAAATGAACATTGTAGAAAATGTTAGATTAGTCCCTGATACCTTGTATTTGATGTGCAGGGAGATATTTTAAAATATTGGGGATCATTTAATCGTGCAGGCCCCCAACATATGACCTGATGTTTTGCAGACTGGGAAGCAACCAGTCCAGGAAGCCTTGTATCCCATGGCCAGCTGTTTGTGTGGACTGTTCACACTAGCAAAGAAGCAAAGACTAGCTCCAACTGGCATCTGGGGCACAAGCACTGTAGTTAAAAAGGGAGCAGTGATAGGAATATAATTATTCTTTTCGTCTGTGGCTTTTCTGGGATGCATTTGGCCATTTTCGGGGACAGGCTACAGAAGTAATTCATCTGGAGTTGCAAGTTGGTTGCAGAGGATGTCATAGCGACCATTCAGATTATAGGCCTTCTAGTCTCTTTAGATTCAAACTGAACCTTGACTTCAAAAGGCCTTATAAAATGCAAATGAAATGCAAACCACAGATTTTCTGTACCTTGGATGTAAAGAGATAGCTTACTAAATGCTTTGTTGAAGAAGCTGAGGACTCTAACCAAGCACCTTTGCTTTTATGCTATTTGCTGTCATTGATATAATGCATTCACTGCCCTGCTGGTTGTCAAAAGGCAAACAGGGCCAGTCCCAAATTGCCTGGAACAGGCAAAGATGACCTCTGCTGAAGATAGGGTTGCCAGGTCCCCTCTGGCAAGGAGTGGGGGGGGTAGGGTTGCCAGCTCCAGATTGGTCAACTCCTGGAGATTTGGGGGTGGAGCCTGGGGAGGACAGAGGTACAATACCACAGAGTCTACCATCCAAAGCGTTCATTTACTCCAAAGGAACTGATATCTGTGGTCTCGAGATGAGCTGTAATTCCAGGGGATCTCCAGGTCCCACCTGGAGGCTGGCATCCCTAGCTGAAGAACTTTGGTTGTGAGGATGTCCTTTGCCTAGTAAGTCCAGAGTCGAGGGCCAAATGAGACCAGCTGTGGAGAGGCAGCTGGCTTTAATGCTGATGACCAGCCATGCAGACAGCTGCTATGGCGTTTTCCCAGGAGCTGTCTTTGTTTTTTTCCTTACTGTCTCTTTCTTTCCTTGGCAGAATTTGCCTATGGAGGGCACCCCTACCCTTTCAGTGGGATTTTTGAGATCACACCAGGCAGTGCTGTAGAGCTTGGCGAGACCTTTAAGTTCAAGTAAGGGCCTTTCTTTCTCCTCTCCTCTTCATCATTACCTCCCAGGCATCCTGCAACTGATGAGTTCTCAACAGGACAATCCATTTTAAGTCATCTTGTCTGTCCTTTCCCAAGCATTTTCCTATGACTTTTTGGCTGTTTCTGTGAAGTATGTGGTAGTGTGAACATACATTTGAGAGATGGTGGCTAAGGTTGCCAGGCAACCAGATGGAGACTGGAGGGGGGAGCAAGGACAATGGGGGGAACCCTAAAACCCAGAAGTGACATCATGCCGCTCTAGGAATCAGCAGAAACATGATGGGTTTACCGTAGAGTTTTTGGTTATTCCTAGAAAGAACTGATGTGATTTCTAGGTTTTCCCTAGAAGTGACATCACACTGTAGCCCAACTGCCATTTGTTTAATGTTTTCCCTTGCCAGCTGCAGCACTGGTGGTGGGAAATGGGAGCTGGGGGTGGGAGATATCCTGCCCCGGGGCAGGGGTTTGGCAACCTAGTTTGAATGTTGTTTTTGGAACAACTCTGCTGTTCATTTCCTGTCTTTAAAAACATGATATTAAACAACGCAGGATTTAAAATACACTCCAGAACTTAGATTAAGATGGGTAGCCATGTTAGTCTGTCTGTAGCTGTAGAAAAGAGCAAGAGTCAAGTAGTACCTTAAAGACTAAAAAAATGTGGCAGGGTATGAGCTTTCACGAGTCACTGCTCACTTCTTCTATTCTAGCTGTATCTGAAGAAGTGAGCAGTGACTCACGAAAGCTCATACCCTGCCACAAGTTCTGTTAGTCTTTAAGGTGCTATTGGACTCTTGCTCTTTTCTATTATTCCAGAACTTGTTTTATGTTATTGTGTGCAGAGAGTTGGACTTGAAGGAGGGACTCTCCCACAGACTGTGCCCTCCGAGCAGTTTGTTACAACTTCACACAAGTCCTGCAACCCCAGGAATAAACCTTGCAGGGGTCAGAAATGGCTTCTGGGTGGAGGGGAAAGCCAGGAAAGCCAGTGGAAAGTGCAGACTTATCATGATATGTAACCTAATAACTGAATTAATGCATCTGAGCAAATGCCAATTTTCTCTCTCCCCCATTTAAAAGCCATTCAGCTTCTTTGATGAGAGCTCTAGACTTCTGAAGCAA